TGGAGCCACTTCATTCCTTTTAATCAGGAGAGATAAAATGGGACAGTTAAGCTTTTTGCCATCCTGATCCCAAGAGGATCAAACTCAGATCTCCCATCACCAAGGAAGCCCTACCATGAAAGCCCCTCCTGCCCTCCTGGTGCAAGTGGGGCAATTCCTTACCTGGTATTAACCAGCTCCCTGAGCTCTCCCTCCTCAAGCACGGCTTCGGAACTTGGATATTCATCCAGTCAGAACAAAGTGCCCAGTTCACAAGAAGAGAAGGCATCCAGCTCTAGCAGAGACCTAGCACATCACACCCTCTCGGAATTTCCTATTCCTACTGGCCAGTTACAGCAATCCCCAGCTTGGCGCCCTGCCTGCTGTGAAATCTGCTTCCAGATGCCACGTGCTTCCCACACATTCAGTGGAAACCCATTAAACAGGGGAATTTCACCCAAGGGGATCCTTAGCATCAACAATCATGATGCTGACTGTCAATATGCCCAAGCTCCTCTCTGTATTTGTTACCATTTTTAAAAGTCCCTGTCATTCTGAAAATTGACTCAAAAGCCTTACTATGGGGGATACAATGAGATAATGATGTTGCAAAAAAGCCCTAAGCTTCAAATAGAAAAATTATAGAATGTAAGCACAAGAGGAAGAAACTAAATCCCTTGAAAAGTCACCTGCCCTCCCCCAGGCAGGTGAAGATCTGCACTGAAATTTGGTAACCTGGCTCACTTCACTGATAGCCCATTTTAGTTTTACTGTTTCAGTTAATTTTCAAGGAGGGATTTTCCAAGGCAGTTATCAGTGTGAATTCAACATCAATGCAACACATTTCCCCCGGAGAGGTTTCTAAATCAATTTTAATTCCGATAGGCTCAAGTAAATGTTTTCAATTTGATTCAATAATCCATACACACTTATAAAATGGCATTTCCCTCATGTACTACAAGACAAACATGGTTTATGTTTGTAACAACTCTGGCTAATAAAAAATTCTAATTTCCTATCTTGAAGGATACAGACACAATTTTTATTCACTTCTTAATGAACCAGATGACATAAACAAATGAAATAAAATCAGCATTTAAGAGCATTAGTTGTATCATTAGATCTCTAAATGCTATAGTAACACATGATTTTTGTCAAGCTCAAAAAAAACCCCAAACAACTAAATCAAAAAAAGTGTCCTCAAATAGAGCTTTCTAAATCTCCTAAGAATCTGTCATCATTTCCACTTAGAGAGCAATGTGAGACCTCTTCAGGATGTCTTTTGAAATGTGAGCAAGTTCTCAAAAAAGGTAATTACAACAAAGTTACTACCAGGTATCAGCAAGAGTGGCATGAAGATTAGGGCTGGAGGTGAGGGATGGCAGAAATATAATCTCCTCTAATAGCATCTAGTGTACTGCAAGCTCGAAAAATGGAATAAAGTGTGGAAAGGAGGACTGTAGAGTTCAGGGTGAGACATGGGCCCTCAATGGGCAGCAATCTTCACAGTACAGGGAGCAAACAGTGACAATCTGAGGAAGAAGGGAATTGCCCAGCTCACCTCCATTTCCATAACTGTATTTCAAAGTCAGTTAAAACTCTGACCCCTCTGCTGCGAGTACGACCAGGGAGTGTTTCCAGAGCCCATCAAATTCTGGATCCATCAGATCAATACTGACTGAACAAAAAGCAAAATTCATACTTGATTTTTCAACAGCCTGCTTTTCAGATTATCCAGGTGATAATGTTAATATACAAAATTACAGTTTGATATTAGCATGTTAATACTGAACTTACCTACACTATGTTAAGACTCTGTAAATAGCAGCTTCTGAGAAGGTTTTGTATGTAAGTTCTTGTCCTTCCTGTAGTAATAACCCTTTAGTGTTGGAACAGGATATTGTCCTACAAACCAGCTCAGATGACAGCGGAGAGACTGGAGAGTTGACTATGACTAGGAAGCTCAGGGCTGTAAAAACACTGTCTAGAGGGAAGTGTTTCAGAGAGAGCTGCTTTGCATATGACTGCAAAAAGAGATGCGTCCCCAGCACACAAAAGAAATATTCAGTAAAATCTTTGCATGACCACTGTCATTTGCCACATCTGCAGCAGAAATCAAACTATTTCCATGTCACCCCAAAGCCAGTAGTCAATGCAACAGAGCCTAAAAGTAGTTATAAGAAACCTTAAAGGAACTTGAAACACACATTCTACCCCACTGCAGGGAGTTAGTCCATCCCAGCAGCAGGACTTTGCATTCACACGCACTAATTAACCATGAGACTCCTCCCGGATCTTCCCTCTAACCTCTCCAGGTTATTAAATTGTTAACTAATGACATTACAGTGGCTTTACTCAAGGTAAGCACTATAACAGAAATGTACAAATCACATCATCTGAATAACCATAATTTTCTTTTTGGCCATTGTTCTTAAATAAACTGCTTGCATTTATCTCACATTTTATCATATTTCATAGTCATATACTTTACAAATCTTAGGAATTAAGCTTCATATTATTTCAACACTTCAAATAAGAAACTTCAGCTTACTAGATCCTTATACAGACAAAAAGAGAGCTAAAGATTTAGCTGACACTATACAGAAAACTTATGCTGAGATAAAGAAAGAACTACGTCCCATGCTCTAACTCCGTCCTAATCCTCATCCCCTTTCAGTTAACCCAGACCTTCAGCGTGGGATATATCTGTGGGACAGACATTTCCTGCAGTGCTGTGAACTGCAGAAGACAGGAAGAAACCATCAAAACAGTAGATAATACAGCAAAAGAGGTCCACCTCTGCTCTGGATGGAGATGGCTTCATGGATCTTGCAGAAGAACAGCAAAACACTGAAAAACACTAGAGCTGAAATTTCTGTTTATAAAGCAAAGACTAATATCTTGGGAATATTCAGTTCCACTGGATCAAACTCATTGATTAGGAACATTAGAAACTCCATGTTAGCACTTGCTACCTGCCACTGCTCACAGTTAATGAACTTGGGGAAAAAAGGGAAGAAAAAAATCCCTGTTTTTCACATGTCCATCATTCATGGAGGGCTCCTTTGTTGAAATATAGGCAAATGCATACAACTCAATGGTAAGTAAATGAGCACACAAGTTTCTTTTGACTCTCATTATGTGGGATTTGAATAGCAAACAGTGTGTGCATTGTGTACCTTGTCTGTGTAAGAGCCCTGGGATGGCTGATGTGATCAGATGCACTCAGACTGCACAGACAATACAGAACAAGATTAATCCTGCAGATGTGCAACTGCCCTATGCTGTCCCTTCCAGCTCCTCAGACACTCGTTCTTGCTGCAGGGAGCTCTGATCGCTGCCACACAACGTATTTTATACTCCCCCTCAGCACTGAAGGCAATTCTCAGAATTTCCATGTGGTAGATAGAATTAGATTCTGTGCAGAGAGGCGTTCAGTTATTATGATTTATGAAAGTGTTTTCAGAAGTTGGATGCTGAATATTTTATCAACATAAACATCAAGTTCCTAAAAGAGTTGTTTGCTGTTTTCAAAAGTTTCACCCTCTAGCGGAAGAGAAAACATAGATGGCACACATCAAAAAGATGTTATCCATACTGCAAAGAAGACATTTTTTAATTTCCTGCCTGCCCCAAAAACCTGAATGATCGCACAACCAAACCACTTTCTTTATTTGCCTTAAAAATCTCTCTTAGATCACATTCTAATTTACATCAAAGGTCCCCTGGTTTTGCCTTGCCAAACTACAGCTTTTTTATCTTAAATGAATCACTTTTTCCTTGTAAGTTTAGGCCTAGAGCAGTCATAAGGTTTCTAAATCATCTTCCCAAACAAACACTTGATTTTTTTTAATTGCTGTGTCTCTTACAAACTCTAATGTAGAGATTCCCGATACAAAAGCTAAAGCAAACACAAGTAAATGTTTTGGTAGAATTGCTGCAGTAAATATTATAGCTGCCCAGAATTTCAACCAGTTATCTACAACGAGTAAAATTCGCAACACACATATATGAGCGAAGATGAAAACTTTTTCTGTCTTATAAAGATGTAAAAAATCCTCAGAAATAAATGACTAAATTATACATCCATAGAAAGAAACAGAATGACAAACTCAAAAGCTCACATGAAAGTTCAAATCTTGCTGTCTCAGGTATTAAAACTATTTAGTATGATTTCTTTTTCTTTTCTGTTTTACTTTTTTGAGTAATTCTGTTTTCAATCTCAATTTTATGTATAGGTTTAAAAACAAATCAAAGATGGCTACACAGAACAACATGAATTACCACTAGAAATTAAGGTCTTGGGCTCCAAGTTTATCAGTATTTAAAACCATAAACAAAAAAAATTTACCAATAAAAATCTAAGAATAAAAATTCCTACTGAAAATCTTCAAGTAACCATAAGCACCAAATTCATATTAGCTCATTTCTCATGGTCATCACTCCAAAGAACTATCCTACAATCTGAGACAAAATTGTAAATACAAATATGATCTAACCCAACCACGCATTTATCCATAGCTTCTTGATTTTGAGTTTTCCTCCTCCTCATTTATATTTCCTTTATCAGAGTACAATTAAGTCTCTACAGATTGCTGCTGAATTCTCTGTAACTTCACAAAGTGTTAGTAGGACTCAACCTCCAGTAACAGAAAGTGCATTTAAGCTCTGGTTAATTCAAAAGAAAGTAGGAAAAAAAGCCTTTAGAAGAAAATCTATTTATCAAGAGCAGGAAAAAAAGTTATCTTTTGTCAAGGTAATTTTTAAAATTGTATTTCTTCTAGTGAGCCATAAATAACATGTACGTTTTTTCTCACATTTCAGGTATATTTCAGTAAGAGGTATTTTGATGTCAGAGAATTGAAACTCATATCCCTGTACCAGAGTTCCACTGAGCTTAACAAATTCCACTTACACTGAGTGCACAGATAACAGAAGAACCACAGATGCATAAAAGGTGGCTGATGTAGGAGCTGATTAAAGTACAAAACACATACAAATAAAAAGAAATGAGTCACTACCTTTCTTTTTGGAGTCTTTCTTTGTGCTGGTTTTAACAGCCACTTGAAGTTCTGTCTCAGTTGACATCCTATATCCTTAGTCCTCTTCACACAGATCCAGGATCTCGGTCAGGCTCATTTAGAACGTCTCTCCAAGAGAATAATTTAGCCTTTCAGATACTATAACCCAAACAGTTCATCTCATTCACTCCTTTCGAGTGCTGTTAAGGAAGGAAACAAAGGAACAGTCATTTTCTGAGTTTAAAAGATAAAGGGAAGAAAAAAAGGCAAACCATTGCAAGCTTACTGAGGAAGAAACATATCAAGTTCTTCATCTACAGAGCCAGTTGTCCACAATTTTAGATGCTTAAACACAGTTATGTCTGACTAGCTTCAAACATCTATATTTGAGATGTTTTGGCATGTCTTAACACAGGCTAAAGACACTACTCAGGGTGCACAGTTTGGACCAGCAGCTGAGGGACAAAGATTACGATCTTAGAAGTTGCTTGAAATGTCACCAAAAGCAAAAAATTCTGCAAGGACTCAATTCTTAAATGCAATGATTCCAAGGTATAAACATGTTGCCAGACAGCAAGTTCAAATTTTGACTCCAATGCTCTTTCAGTGCCCTCGTTCTCTACGTGAACAAAGACAAATGAAAAATGTATTCATTGCTCATGCTGAGAACATCATACTTTGCCACTCCTCTTGCTTATGATAATGTTTCCAGTATAAAAGAATCTGTCTCCACGCAAACAAGGCTGTAATTTTTAACACCCATCTAGTAATCTTTCTCGCAAAGAACTCTGAGAATTGCTAATTAAACCTATGAAATATAAATGGGATAAGGGCAAAAAGATAACATTTAGAGAGCAAGATACAGTTTTACAGAATATGTGTTTGTTAGGGAGATACAAAAATGCACCAGCTGTGAACCCACAGCAGAAATGTGCTGGAGCAGTATGAGGGAGGAAGGGCTTGGGATGGCAAAGAACACACAAAGAAAAAACATCTAAGCAAAACATTACTCCAATTCTTACTGCTGATCCTTCTTGCTTTGAAGGATGACCCACCTACTCCAGCCAGTCTGTCGAGGGCAGAGGACCATACTGTCCTGAAGCCATTTGTCATTATGTTCCCTCACCAAATGCATCTTCTTATTGCCCTTTCCTTTTGTGAGAAAGTTCTCATTATTAGCACAATTACAGTGAAGTCCATCTGGCCTGTCTGAACAGCTGCCCACTTATTAAATAAGCATTTAATAAAGATATTAACCCAGCATATCAGCTGGTTAGCTGGCCAAAGATTAACTGCAGTTAAAGTTGTTTACTAATGTCCCTTCTTTCTTATTTAAGAAAGTAACAGACTGCAAATACTGAAACAATTTTGACAGTTTAAATCACTTTTCACAGTAAGGGCTGTGAAGCCACCAGTACTTTCAAATCCAGGCTCTTTCAACATTTTAAAATGCTTCAGTAACATTACACTGCCATGCATCGTCTGAAGTGATTTAATATTGCTGAAGTGTGTCAGGGGCTTTCTTTAATAAGCTCTTCAAGTCTGTCTGTGTATTATAGAATATTCAAAGATAGCTTTTCAAAATCTGCTGAACTGATTTTGAAATACAAAATTCCCTGTTCCTCCTCTATGGAATCAGAATAAGTGCCAAAGAGCGAAAAGGAGGAAAAATAAAGCAACAGAAAAATTGAAGTTGCGATGTTGACAAATACACCTTCTTGGTGTAATATACCAAATAAACTATCAGCATTTTGATTAACATTCTTAGTTAGGAAAGCAGTAGAAAAGGACAAAGCAAACGAAGGCTGATCACAGATGGAAAAGGAATAACAGCTCCAAAAGCGATCCTTCCAGGATTTGAAGTGCTCTTTGGCCAGGTGCATGGACAGGGAGATGACTCTTTCCAAGCACAGGCACAATGGGAACAGCACAGCTCTGAGCTGTGCTGTGAGGGAACTCTCTCACCCGGCTGCAGACAGAGCTGCTCTTCACTTACGCTCAAATCCCCCCACAAACAGGGAGAGAAGTGCTGCAGAGAACAGATGTCCCTCACAACCCCCATCTCCTTCCCCTCCCCCTGCATGCAACCCAATTTAATAATATTTAGTTTTACAGCACAGTAGGGATGCATCAGCCTTTACAGCTCAATGGCACTTACTTAAAGCATCTCTCAAGTCACAGCTGGATTGACAGTTTATTTTTTGACAATTTGGATTTATATTTACCTAAAGGTTAACTACATAACTCTACATGAACCAATTCACAAAAGGAAAATATTTATGATAGGTCCATTTATTAAGAAAGATAATTTCAAAATAAATACAAAATACCACCAGGGTCTAGAGTTAAGCAAGTTTTAATGTCTCAGAAGACTGCTGTGGGTACAAAGCATCAGGAATGTCATCTCCTGTTGTCAGCTCCTTCCAACAGGATAACTGAAATAGTAGCATCTGAATGGAACTGAATATTTTAAAGTAACAACATATGACTGCTATCTCATTTGAAACTCTCCAGAAAAGCTATAGCCCCTCGAGGCTATCCCACTGAGTAATATTTTTTAAAATAAATGCATGTCTATTTTTGGACAGGTTCACATATTGATTTACTTTCAAACCTAATCAGGTCATACTCTCACAGGCTCATAGATCCTTGAATAAAGTAATAGGTATCTTTGTGAAGGAGCGCATAAACATCTGTCAGATGCAAGCTATAGTTCAAACTGAATTTGCTACAGAGACAATTCCTCCAAAAGTATAGGTCTTTATGTAAGCCACATTAGTAAACTTCCATGCACTGTCCATATTTCAGCCATTTATTACCCAGATGAGAATGGCAGTCAATCTGCTCTTCACTGCAACAGCTTTTATTGTCTCCTCCAATCTAGGTCACCGTTGTTAAACACTACAGTCTCCCAACTGTGGGAAGTACTGCAGCATGTGTTTTATCAATGAGATGCTATTTTCTTTGATCAGTTCTGCCACATTTCTCTCCCTGCTCTAAGGACAAAATTTTGTTAGCTCTATTTCCAAAAAAAAAAATCCACCATCATATGCATATCCACTCTAACAATCTTCTTGCGTGCCTTGTTACTGCTCTGGCTATTACAATGTTATGTGCATGCCTCAGCTTTTCCTAAAGAGGATTCAGAGCTCTTCATTTTAACAAAATACTGACATTTTCTGTGGCCTTATTAAGTGGTTACAGCAAAAACACAATCAGCGCATTCTGGAATTAACTGGCTTTTAATTCCAAGAGAAGTCTTAAGCCTGTGTTCTCTGTTACTCCTACGCCAGCATAAAACATAAAGCATCGGTGAAAAAACATTTCCATAAATTCTTTGCAGTTAGGATTAACACAGGTTGGACCCTTTATGTGTGGGGAAATTAGTCCCATGCTCCACTTGCCTCCCCCATGCGTTTGTAAAACAACAGTTTCTGTCAAATCATTTGTCTTTTCCACCACGCTTGAGCAGGCTCATGAAGAGGTTATGAGGAGACTTCCCCTGGCCCAAGTTATGAAAGAGGTCAGACCAGACTGTCATAATACTTCCCCTCTGGCTTTAAAATACATGAATTAATTAATTTTCTTCAGGGCTTCAAAACTTAAGAAGTTGCCTCCCCTGAAACCAGTTTCCATCTGCTTATGAAAAAGAAAAGCAGTCTTAGAGAGGATTTGTAACTAAGCCCTGGCATTCCCTAGGTATTTAAGTTTTCCACAGCCCCAAAGTGGGATTTGACAAGAGGACAGTACCTCCCAAGCCCTGGTTTGACAAAACAAAAGCTGTGCTACCATCCTTAGCTCTTGCTTTCATGGCTCTGGAGTCTTGAAAATAATTTTTTTCCTTCAAAGCACCCAATATAATCATGTTGATGCCCACAGTTTTGCAAGTGTTAAACAAACCCAACATACTGAAAGGGTAAAATGTAAGTGACAAAATTATTTTAAAAGTGTGTGATTCTGGAAAACTAAAACCAGTTCAAATATAAAGGATTGCAATCCAGGGAGAAATCACCCACTTCCCATCTGACCACAAAGCCTAACACAGAGAACTGCAGTGGGACCACACACGAGCAGACGATGGAAAACCCATCCTTGCCACCAGTGCTCTTTCTACCCTCCAGGGAGAGGAGGCCATGAATTCTCTGGTGCTGCTCACACTATTTTGTACTCATCAGCTCATTTCCCCAATGGTCAAGGCTCGGGAACATGAGACTATTCATCTGTTACAGCAGGCACTACACTAATTCCAAACAGAAACCCAAGGGACTGATCCAAACCCCACTGATATACTGCAGTTAATAAGGCCTGTAAGTGAGAACCAGAAAAGGAGGAAGAGGAGGTGAAAGAAAGAGCTTAAGATACTGACACAGAGGAGAAAATGAGAAGGAAACAAAAAAAAAACAGTGAATCTGTCTCTGTGACACTTCATTACAGCAAATTCTATAACGTGCTTAGCAGCAAAATCTAAGCCAGACCACGCATTAAAATTCTGGCTATCCTGGAACAGAAAACAATCTCTGTTAAGACTGTTGCATGGGCCAGTCCTCTCCTCCAGTTTTGCCATTTACCCACAGAACAGGACAACGCACTGGTTCCAGTGACAAAGTCAAATGACTCTCCCTCACTGCTCTTTCCTGCCATTTCTTTACTGATATTTTTGCAGCTTCTAAATGTGGAAGGAATATTGCTGTTCACGTGCACAAACTAAGATTCTACCAAAAAAAATTCACTCCCTCAGCAGATGTGGAAAGCCAAGTGCCCTGTTTAACTCCTCTAATTCCTCTTGCAAATTACAGACCCTCCTCTGGAACTCAACATCCTGCTTCTCCCTCCACTTCCCTAAATTACACAGCCTGAAAAGACTCACAACTGCCTCCATAGCTCATACTTAAGTTTTGTTTGCTCTAAAGCATTTACCTTCTCACTTCTGATTTTCTATATATTAAGACACAGGAAGGAGATTTAAGTGCTTTATTATGCTTTCTGTACTATGTCTGTAGCGTCTTCCAGAACAACACTTCCAAATAACCCTTTTTAATTCTTCTAACGTCAGAAAACTACTTAGTACTCAAACCACAGCACTAAATTTCCTTTGTATTTAGTTGCTATAGTTGACTGTATTCATAAAATACTTCTCTTATCTCCTGAAAACAAGAAGCTCTTTTTTTTAAAAAACCCTACATGTAACTAAGGCAAATAA